TTATGCTCTAAGATCAAAGCTAATCTTTTTTTCCATGTATTATAATTCGGCCCATTGAGTCTTTCTATCTTCAATTCTAGCTTTTCATCAATGAATAATAAAAAATACAGAACAAAAAAATAAATTTAGTCTATAGTTGCGATCTTATTAGGCGATAGTATGGACTATCAAGAAACTCAATGTGAATTCAGCTCAATCTACAATTCTTCCAAGCCGTCTCATTAGAAAGTACCCAAATTGCAAACAAACAACAGTAGATGGGGTTCCAATAGATAATTTTCTCTCTCTAGATTTGGGGAAAAAAAATACAAAAGAGTGATAATAACAAAAAAGATGATCCCAAAATGGATTAAACAGTAGTAAAAAAGAAAAGAATTACAGATTATGATATCACTAGAGAAAAAAGACTCTCTATTATCTCAAAAGCGGGAATGCATTGATCTTGCAATTGGGTTTACAAGCTCTGTTATAGTACATCATAGCAACCAAAATAAGAAGTGAATGAAGCACATACCCGTTATATAGTCGTTAGAATGTGTAGCCCATGATCCAAGAAGTTATTTTGGCAAAAAACAGTCATGCCCGTTGAAAAAGAAAAATGAAGCAATGTTCGCAAGAGACAGAAGGACCGTTTTAGAAGAAAAATGAAACAAATTTATTTTTTGGCAAGAATCAGCCATATTCGTTGAGAGGGAAAATATGTCAATCTTGCAGCCCATTGCAGTAAAAAAAGAAGCCTAATTGATGAGAAAAAAAAAGGAAAAAAGAAAGGGAAAAAAAAAACTTACCTTTTATGGCTCCTTATCCTGCTCGCTATTTTCTCACCATTGAATCCCCAAGATTTCTTTGATGAACTTGGACATATGGCAAAAAAAACAAATATATCTAACTCCCTCCCTGAAATTTCCATTCCTAGTACCTCCTTGGGTTAACCAAAATCCCTTGCAGCCCCTCAAGTTTTAAACTTTGGGACCATTAGCCCCCTAATTATATTTTTCTTTGTTCTTTTTAAGAATTTGATCTCTTTGTTTTACAAAATGCCAAACCCATACATTAGTCATCCATATCTGTTATAACAATAATAACAACAATAATATATTAATTGTTAAATATTTCATCTCTTATAAGTATTTTGATAAAGTCTTTTAATAAATAACTAATAATAACCATCAACAATAGTAACAAATATCTTGATATATCATTTTTCAAGTTCAAACGATATTGACATAATTGTAAAATAGGTCATAATGTTAAAGAAAAATTCATTTTTTTTTCATGTCTAAATATATAGAGTGAGATCTATGGAGGTAAGATTGGTTTTAGGCAACGGAAGAGAAATGGAAGAGAAATGTTTGTAAAATAAAAAGATTAAATTTGTAAAAACAACAAAGAAAAACACAATTAGAGGGGCTAACAGTCCCAAAATTTTAAATTTGAGGGGATGCAAGGAATTTTAGTGAACCCAAAGGGCTAATAGGGATGAAAGTTTTGGAGAGGGGGGTAAAAGTCATTTTTCCAAAAAAAATTAGGAGCAAATCTCTCCTTCGCAGAATTTTAGAGAGAGAGTAAAGGAAGTATGAGGTTTGTCTTTCATCTTTATGGGAGATTTTGATGGGGGCGTCTTTATCTTTTTAAGTATAAAGTAGGGGGGTTAAAATGGACAAAAATGCCTTTCATAAGGATTTTGATTTTGAGCAATAATAAAAAGACCTAAAAAAATAGCCCCAAAACCTATAGACCATAAATCACACGAGGGACTTAAGGTTCCATACCAAAACCTATATAGACCAAGCCATCCAGTGATAAGCTACTTTGAGAGTCCTCTTTGGTGAATCTCTTTCACCTATTATCCTTCATTCTCTCTCTCCCCTTTTTTTTACTTGAGGGTTAACCTCTTTTTATAGAGAATCATCTTTTGTAACTCTCACATTCATGGTCTATAAGAGTTGAGATCCAAGTATAACTCCTACCTTAATTCCATTATGTGTAGATAATTAGGATTAACAAGTTGTCACCAAACTGTTAATCCTATATAATGAGTTAAACTTGTCATTAGTGCACTAATGATTCACATAATAAGATGTCATCTAAGCATTTATACAATTTGATAAAAGATATTTAAATATTAAATAATTTTATACATCTATAATACAAAAAAATAGTTCTTACAAAGCATCCAAACACATCACTGGGTTTTCCCTCCAGTGCGACATCCTATAAAAGCTCTAAAATGGATTATAGTATATGCCATTGCCTCACGTCAACTACATGAGATTTCACATATACTATACAATATAGTTTTTGTACCATTATTGAAATAAAATTCACAGGATAAAAGGGCCTGAAAGGTCACATTTCCAACAGTGCAAACATCAGTGAATCAATTTCTCCTCATTACTTGATCAATGAGACCTTAAAAAGCTACGACATCTCGCTAGAGAGAACGACATCAAGTTCAAATTAAAGGTGGATACATGTTCTCTCTATTTAGATTTCTCCAACGATGCTCCAAACTTTCGTACTCACACAGATTGAGTATCTCAACTAGTATTTGAAATAACAAATCGGTGACCATTCCCATACTAGATCTCTGAGTTGGATCCATAAATCGGTCTGGATATGTGATATGAAAAACTATTGAAAATTAAAAAATAAAAATATTGAAAGAGAGTTTTCCAATTATGAAAATGTTTTGATGCTGGACGTCATATGTAATTTTTGCCGTGTAAGCCAAACCCATCTCACACATCAAAGTGAAAGTCATTACGTATTATGAACATACCAAAAAACTTCAAGGTTCAACAATTATTGAAACACCTTACGAAGTAGGAGTTAGTTTTTCGAAGGTGTTAGGGAAGCGGTGTCAGCAAGAATAAAAACCATGATATGGTGACTAGGGTGGGGGGGGGTGCTACCACCACGACCCAACCCCTTTCCCTACGAAGTGAGGGTTCTAGGTAATCTATATCCTAATTCAATTCATTATCTGCTTATTCCCATAACAAATACTGTGCCAAAAGATTATATATTCCATTGGAGCATAGTATTTATTTACTCCTTTCGGTAAAACCTCTAGGAGTATCATTAGGGCCCAAAACTTTGGGGATGTAACCTTTTCAATCTAACAATCGACCTCAAAAGGAACTAAAAGAAACAAAAAGAAAAACAAAACATCAAACACACTATATATGTGCTGGAAAAAGCATGATGTCCTAAAATTGAACTATGGCCATACAATCAGACATCTCAAAATCCTTTCTTTTTTTTTTAACTACCCATGTAAAGGTGAATCCCAAAACCACATATCAGAGAGCTCCTCAAGTTACTCTTTTGCTAATGGGATTAAATGTGTGGAGTGCCACTCCGGGAGTACGCTATTAGGCTCCATACTTTTCTTTATAGCTTAATTGGAAATCTAATTTAAAAATGAAACTCTCTTTAATACATTCTTTATTAAATATTTTGGATGTATATACACATATATGGTACAAGGCATTTTGAAAAGTTCAAAGTTTTTACAAAGCCTATGTTTTATGAAAACAAAATAAAGCCTTACCTCAAATCCAATGGAAATTTGGCTCTAAAATTAATTTCTAACACCGAGAATAAAATTTGAATTTCAAAAAATAGCACAAATATTGCAGATCTATGAATACTTATTTTCAGAGTGAAATAGACGGTCTAGATAATTTACTACAATATATACTATTTTTAAAGCTTAAAATCTAATTTTTCTTTCACAACCATAATGTTCTAGTCAAGTTTATTGATATAAAAATTTCCCAAATGCTTGAATTGCATTTTTTGATGAGTCATGAATTGAGGCTTTACTTATTTTAATAAGGCTGCAGCACTATCAAACCATTTTCCTTTTGAGAATTATTCACTTTATTGAAAACATGGCCTTATTTTCTAATTTTTAGGAACTTTATTTTTTCACAAAGATGGAAACATGCCTCTTGCTTCCGCATACTTCTTTAATGCTTTATTGTGAGAACTCAATTTTTATTTCATGCTATTTTATTGTGAAATTTAAAAAAAAAACAAACAAACAATTCATGTTATTTTATCATGGGTGCAGTTAGCATACAGATGCATCCGTAGCTTTAGAGGTATGGTGCACTTTCAAATTTTATCATGGTGTATAATTTTGATGTAAAATGTTATTAGGATTATCTCAAAATTTATTTTTATATCTAATTATAAAATTTTAATTTTCAAAAATGATTAAAATCAAGTAGATCTTTAAACATATGAAAATCTTAAAAATGGACGGTGTAGATAATATGTTGAAAAATGCACTATTTATGAGACTTAAAATCTTTTTATTTTTCATAGTCATATATCTCGATGTCCAGATGATCAATCAAATGGTTTTTCAATATTAAAACTACCTTTTCCAATGGATTTTTGAGGACCATCCGTAGTTTTACATTATAAGGTTGCACCCTCATATAAACTTTTTCTTTTTATTATTTATTTATTTTAATTTTTTTTTGGGGATCCGATGGAGATCGCGTTGCGGCTTCCAACGCCTAACAACCTCGAGAGAGTCCGAATGCCAATGTGAATAACACAAGCCAAAAGATATTATACTTCAGCGCCGGAGTATGTTATCTATTTATTTCCTCGGGTAAAATCCCACGAAGAACTCATTTTAGGACCCTAAAATTTGGCGATCTAACCTCTTCAACCCCGAGATTAACCTTAATAAAAATTTGTTTCTAATTGCATCCTCTGTGCCCTGGAAAAAAAAAAAAATGATGTGTTGAGATTGGATAAAGAGTATTCAATTTTATCCAATTTTTAGATGGTGAGATCTAAGTGTTAAAAAACGTAAATTTCAAATTTTTGTTTTAACAATAGTCAATTCTTAAGTGGTTCCAAATATTTGAGATTGAAAGAATCCTCATAAATAGGTTTTCTGACTGAGGGAGTAGAAATTATGAACCCAAGGAAGCATAATATAGAGTATACTATAGGTCTATAATTCTCCTCCATCTTTAATGAGAAAATTCTTTCCCAATATCAATAACCTAAAGAAAAGTTGCAACAATGTAATTTCATTCCAATTCATCATTGGGCTTCAACACAAGGATCCCATTTCTCAACCTCCTACAACTTTCTTTCTAACAATGCCATCACCGTCGCCACCGACAACGTCCACCATGCACCTGCAACAACATGGTCTCAGCTTCCACCTATTAAACTGAAGGGAGACTAAACTATATCGTTACTACCACGGAAAACAGTGGTCATGAGAGTAATCACCACCATGCGACCAATGCTTCGAATGGTCATGAAGAGAGAGAAACTGGGAGCAAAGAAATGAGATTGTAGTGGATTCTACTCTCTCTCTCCACCGCCGTTCATTTTATAATTGCACAATGATGGCTCTCATGCCTACTGTTTTCTTAACGGGTATTGTAAGTGGCGGAGTACTTTGCGGACACAATTCACGGAGATTAAGCACTCTATCTCTATTCATATAAAAAAGATGGAAAATTTACATATAGATCGGGTTTTTTTACCGTTATAACATAATAACTCGAAAATCAACATTTATGACCTAGAAGAACGGATCACCAATTTTTATTTTTTTTTGGGTCAAGTTTGTTTAAGGTCCGATTTTTCAAATATTAGACCGCTTGATAACCCAAAATTTTTTATTTTTATCACTTTTATAGTACGGGTACTACAGTGAGAAAAGCATGGTAGTAGTGATTGTGCCTCTATGGGCGTAAAAAGTACTGGTTTGGGTTTACAGGTCCCGATTAGATTACTTTAAAAAAAAGAAAAAAAAACGGTACGATGTTCAAATCATCGGACTGTATAATTTATTTAAAAAAGTGAACAGAAAGCGGTCCGATGGTTCTAACATCGAACCTCATTGGTCAATAACAAAAATTAAACAGAAAGCAATTCGATGGTTCTAACATCTGACTGCATTGTTCAATAACAATAAATGATTAGAAGGCGGTTCGATATTGTAACTATCTTACCGCTTGGTCTACTTAAAAAAATAGAACAGAAGGCGGTCTGATTTTTAGAACATCGGACTGTATTATTTACTTAAAATTTAAAAAGTTGGACCGAGAAAAAACTTGGCAAAAAATAAAGAAAATTTTAAGATCCATTTTTCTAGATAATATCGGCCTATTTTCATACCATTTTGGTATAACGAAGAAAAAAAAAAAAAAAAAACCCGTAACGTAAATTTCCCAAAGGTTCACCCAAAAAAAAAAAGCGCATTACCTGGAGGAAAAAACCAAGACTTGAGTGTGGCTCCGGTGCTCCATCCCGGAAAGAAGCAGTCAGTGCTGGTATTCACCCCATTTGGGCAGCTGCATGCAAAGGAATGGTATGTCCCGACCCCGAAGGCGCACGCCCCATTGCTCCTCTCGCAGGACCGACACATTTCTGGATAGTCATTCTCGACATTGAACCTGTATTTGAGTGCAACCCCATACCTCCACGACCCCGGGTCTGATCGTTGAGCATCGAATCCGTACACTGCGGCATACGAGTTACAGTTCAATTTCCTCAGGTCCATGTCGAATGCTGGCCCGAGGTTAACCGGCGAGTATATGCAGCAAGTGGATACAGGCGATCCAATCCCAGCAACTGCAGGACACAAGTAGAGGGCGCTGCAGATGGACGAGCTTCCAGGATCGCAGAGCCCAGAAACGAGTTCACTTGTGTTGTAGACTGGTGATGACGAGGTGTCACAGTCCAGGAGCACGAACACAGTTGAGTCTGCAAATGTGAAAGGTGCGTCCCAGTCGAGGCCAAAACCACCACTGGGGCGAGTGCAGGAGCAGGTTGACATGGAAGGGTCCTGGATGTAGAGGAGGTTGTTCTGGTAGTCGATGGAGAGGACCGGATACGAGCCCGAGTGTGTGGTGAGGAGAAGCTGCTGCTTATCCTCATCACAGCAAAGGTAGGGAGCGAACCTCAGGTCGCCACAGCCGCTGCCCGTGCCAAACGGGTACTGTACATGGATGTTGCCGCAAGTGCTCTTGCAAGATTGATCTTGGGCCAACAACTTCTCCGGAAAAGAATGCAGGGCCAAAAAGAAGAAGAGAAAGACGCCCGGCGATGATGCGCTTCGGTTTCGCCTCCTCTTCGACCTCATATGCTTCATAGTTGCCTGTGCTTAGAGAGAGAGTAAGAGAGAGAAAATGGGGGCCTTTGGGGGTCTCTTAATTTTAGCTGGTGATCCGGTTATGGGGGGAGGAAGGCATGTGCAGAGGAGTAGGAAATGAGGTGGGCTTCAACTTTCGGTGTTGGGCGAGCAGCCTTCTATGTTCATCTTTTCTCTGAAATTAATGCTTGCTGACCTGGGTTTGGGTGTGTTTGTGTTTTTATAAATGTATTTGCATATGCCTCTGGCATCTAATTTATGCAACGTGATTTACCTTTTTGCCTTTTTGAGTTTCCCACTCACTGGAGGATGAAGATGGTCATGTGACGGACAAGATTCTACCATTTCAATGTCCTTGTTTACAGCTTAGTGGATTCGATCTAGATACCAAATGTATTACATAAGGGCTGTCGACCGGGCCGGGTCTACGGGGTCCACCTGACTCGGTTCTGGGTCTGGTTTGTAAAACATACCCAGTGGGTCTATTCTGAATCCATTTGACCTGAACTTGAGCTGGATTGGGCCTAGGGCTGGATCTATGTACAATTCTGACAATTTCAGGTTCGGTCGGGTTTGGATAAGGGTTCTCCACCTAACATATTTACATAAAATGTAGATAATGTGTTTTGTTTTTCTTTTGCTTTGTTTTTCTTACATATGTATCGAGACCCCAACTGACCTGACAAGTTGGGTTTGGGTCCAATTAACAGGGACCCAGCCCTGACCGGGTCTAATTTAGACAAAATCGGGTTGCGGTTGAGCTCAAACTCTTTCTTCCCTAAGAAGGTAGATAAACACTGTTATGCTCAGCTCAATGGGTTGAACTGTAAACATCCTTTTGACCTAGAACGGGGAATTAACGAATCCCCAATGTTTGTATTTTTATTTTTATTCTTTTTAAAATCCATGTGTCCATGCACTGAATTTTTTTTTTTGTTTTTTACAAGAGTACTAACTTTTAAATGAATTATGCATTACAATGCCATAATCAAAATAGGACCTCTGAAACCATCAACATATCTAAAGAAGTTCCCTCTTTGCCAAACCATCCACAGCCTCATTAGCATCTTTATAAACATGGTTAAAAGTAATCGACCACTTAGATATAATATTCATAATTTGCAACCACAACGAACGAAGGTGCCACAGTGGTATGGACTCTTCATTCCAACAATAAATCACATTAAGCGAATCACCTTCTGTTGCCAAAAAATTACCCAACTGTCTCTCTTTCCATATTGAAACCCCTTGCAATAGAGCAACAATTTCAGTACGGTTAGATGAGGCAATTCCACAGGAACTGCAAAACAAAACCTGCATGATAAACAAACAACATTGCCACTACTATCTCGATACATACCATCCACCCCAGCCACACCTGGATTTCTCAAAGACGAGCCATCAAAATTCAATTTGCAGCAACCTACTATTGGTGGCTCCCATCTACACCTCAGTGTAGCCTTTATGTATTTCAAAGACATAAACACCCGTTCCTTCATTAGTAATATTAAACCAGCTCCACACTCTATACAAAACTCTTTTATTCGGCCATTGTATCTCCAAAAGAAATGCTCTCAAGAGTTCTTCTATTCCTCTCTAACTACAATTCCCATGCATTGGTTTGACTATGAAATTGCTTATTTAAATTAGGTGGATCAAAATTGATCCATGGTGATTCTAAATCTAATTCAAATATCAAATTAGCAACTATAATGTAATGAACAATTGAAGTTATGGAAAAGGTAAAATCCAGAGGACATCGACCCTAGATTTTCTTTAATTCCCACCACTTCGGAAACATCTGGAATATGCTCTTTGCATGTGTAGGTGAGATTGCCACTTTTGATAACAACTTTGGGCTTAATGCTTGGTTTAATTTTTAATAGGAAGCATCGATATCAGGGTTTTTCGGCCTTTAAAAATCGTGAGAGCATTGTGCACTTCAGTGGGAGGTTATGATGGTCGATTTACTTAGGGCTGAGCGATCTATGAATCGAATCATGTTCAAAACCCTTTTCCCTAGGCATATGCACTACCATTGAGGGTTTATAGAGCGTTATTGCTTATTGAGGTTGGAGAGATGCCGAATGATAGTATTTGTAGTCCATGATAGCTTCGTGGTTTTATGTGTGTGGATGTAGGCTTATGAGAGCAAAGGCAAAACCCTCAATAAAAGTTATAAACGATATGTACAGATGATAACAACATTTTTGAGAAGCAACCCTATATAGGAGTACATGTACATGTGCATAGAGATGATCATCTTGCCCTATAATGATACATGCATTTGACTTTATCTTAAAGAGGGAGTCTATAATCCACATACTAAGACTATAGTTCCATTGTTTATTGGCTAACTTAGAAGCCAATCATGAGCCCCTACATATGAATGTGGGTTATGAGTCCTATTGGGTTGGTTTGAAAAGAAACTAGTCGTCATAGATCTTGGCACCAATGATTTCTGTCGCATAACTGGATTTGCAGCCAAACATATAGCGATACAGTTTCGCACAATAGAATTGCAGCGCATATATGAAAAAGACGGAGATCATGAAGAATAAATTGAATCGAAAGTTCAGCTGTAGTGAGAGCAAAGGAGCGATACTTAGCTTCATTACTTGACCGTCACATTGTCGGTTAATTTATTTACCAAAATCTAGCTTCGTGGTTAGGTTTGGCTCCATATTAGTATCCCAGATAAAATAAACAAATAAATAATATTTTTAAAATCTTCTTCAAAATCATTTCAAGACCCAAGAAAATTTTCAAAAAATGCTCCATAATCATGTAGTTTTTAAAAAATCTCTATCTTCAAGATTTTTCTAGTTTTTATTTCTTATTTTATTTTCAAAACTGTATATCAAGAGCAATTTTAATTTGGATGCTTTTAGAACTTTGTCTCTTGTGATTTCAAAAACTTAATTTCTTTGTTAAAATTTCTACCCATTTTTTAAAAATTCTCTTAAAATCTTTTTAAAAAGGTAGGAGTTTGGAGGGCCGAAACTGTTTAGCCGAGAAGCAATTTAGTGCTTGGAGATGAGGACATATAATGCTTATGATGCAATTCCGAATCCAAGATCTAGGAGGATTGCTTGAATTAGAAGTATCAACCAAATCCAAGACCTAGGAGGATTGCTTGAATTAGAATTATCAACCAAACAGTGAGTAAAACCCTTTGCTAAACCTACTCCAGAAAAGCCAACTATTAAATCTCAGCCTTAGAAAACCCTTATGAGCTAAGGTTACAATAGGAATTCAATTGGACAAAATTTTTCAAAATTTTTTTTAATTCACATTTCTCTAATTCAAATTAAAAACTAGTACTCAAGCAGTCAAGCCAAATAAAATTTGGAAATGGCTGACCATCAACTTGAAACATTGGCAGGTAATGGCCACAGGAACCAAGGTGAACTAGTAACGCTTGACTATCGTCTCGAAACCTTGGCAGATAAGGGGTAGAGTAATTAGTGTGAGCCTATAAAATGACCATCGCCTGGAAGCGTTGGCACCAGGCACCCACTATAAATCTACCGCATTCAAGTGACTAATTCTTTATTTCTAAAAAACCTATGCTGGCTGGTGTTTGTTTAGCCATTCCTGTAAATCTGTTAAGTGGTCGCCTAGATGGTGGTTTTCCACCTTTCAACCTCCTTGCTTTTCTCTGTTTGCCCTTTTCTTCGAGATCTTTTGTGTCTTCTACCAAGCTAGAGAGAGAAACCCTTCATATATCAGTGTTAGGGTTTCAATGTTGTTGGTGGTGTTTTGGGGGGGTTTTCATTTAATCGAAATGGTGAGTCAAAATTGATTAATTTTTGTGTCTATTTTTTTTATTGAGCATTGGTAGTCTCTGTCTCCGTCGTTCTTATGAGACATACAGTTATTAATTTCAATTCCTTTTTAGTTGGTTATTTTTCTGTGTTATTTATCCGGTTTTATCTCTGTTGGCTGGTGTTTGTTTGACTAATCTTGATTTCATATTTTAATGGTTCATATGATTTTTCAAATGTCAATGTTGCATGTTTTAACAACATCAATTTTAATGGTTCTTGCTACTTATTTTGGCTAGCTTCTACTTATTTGGCAATGAGTATGTCGCTTATTAATGCATGTCGGAGAAACAATTGGATACTGAGCCAGATATTGGTGTTTTTTGTGATCAGCAGAGGTATGTTGCTGTTTTTTTTATGAGCATAATTCATTTTTGTGAATCAAGATTAGTCCAATTTGATCACAAAATTGTTTATCTCAATTGACCACTAGTTTTTCTGAATTACTTGATGATTGTTTGCATCAAAAAGTGGCAACAGATAATGTCTATTGGCCTTAGTAATCTGATACAATCGAGAGAAGCATTGTTTACGAACATTTCTAATGGTTTATAGTTTGATCATGAATTTTCAGCAATGAAAACTTCGTGGTTTATATTTGTTTGATCCAATATGTTGTTTAGAATACACGATGATCAATTATGATGAAGATTAAGATGATGCATATAAGAGAAACCATTGGATAACGAGCCATATAGTGCTGTTTTTTTTTCTTTCATTTAAGTATGGCAGTTATTGAATGTGTTGATGTTGTTGTTGATATTACGAAATCTGTTTGTAATTTTCATGGGTAACAAGTATGTGCATTGAGAATGAATATGTGGGTGTCCTTGTACTAGAGCCTTCTTCTATCTAAGATCTATTCCTAAGGATGTCTACAGAAATTAGCATGGATAGCATGGAAGATGATCTTAGGAAGAGCAACAAACTCATAGCAGCCTTACTAGATGTCTATGCAGCTTGTGTTCTGGTAGTGCAGAGAATCAGTAGACCGATTTCTATTAGGGTCTCGCTTATGAGAAAAATGAGGACAATGTCAATACTCGAATATCTCAAGGAACATATAGGCGATTAGAACTCATGATAAGAGAGCGAGGTCCATTGCAAGACACTGTAGGGATAACTGTTCAAGAACAGTTGGTCATATTCTTGTATACTATAAGTCACAACTTGACAAATAGGAAAATTGGACACGACTGTGGTCGCTCGGGCAAGACAATAGGCTGGCATTTCAACCAATCTCTAAATGCGATCTTAGCCCTTCATCGTGTTTGATAATTCAAATGTTTGCATTTTATGTAAACAAAGTGATGAGAATGGTGATCACATTTTCTTACATTGTTCGTTTACTCATGATATAAGGTGTCAGTTTTTTGATAAGCTTGGTGTTGTTGGCCCTCTACCTTGGAGTCATACTAATGTCATAGATCAGATATCCTCTGACGGGCTTTCTAAGGTGGGATTGTTGATTTTTCAAATAGGAAGGGTTACGGTGTTATGGGAGATTTGGTTGGAGAGGAATAGACATGTATTTGAGGGCGCAGTTTTGGAGAACAGTTGTGTCAAGAGGAGAATTCAGCATACCATGTGGAGCTGGTTTTCGGTTACCAAAGAAGGATTTGGGGTGTCTAAGGTGGACATGGAGAGTAACTTTAAGGTTTGATATCACAGAGGATGATTAAGGTGCGACATAAAGGGTAATGGATTATGCCTGGTTTGGGGAGTCTAAAACTAAATTGTGATGGTAGTTCGATAGGTAATCCGAGACTAATAGGAATTGGAGGTGTGGTAAGGAACAATCTTGGTATGTTTATTTTATGTTTTGCAGGTCCATGTAGTGTCAAGACGGCAAATGAAGCTAAGATATTGGCTGTTGTTCAAAGACTGAAAATTTTTAAAGAGCGGGGTTTGCAAGAATGTTGTGTAGTTGAATGTGACTCTCTTAATGTGGTGAATTGGTGTAATGGGGTTTCTAGACCACCTTGGAAGCTTAGATCATTATGGCTGGAAGCAATGGATTTGACCATAGATATGTATGTTACCTTCCAACATGTTTATAGGGAAGGGAATGGATTTGACCATAGATATGTCTGTTACCTTCCAACATGTTTATAGGGAAGGGAATGAGATTGCTAATGCCTTAGCCAAATTGTTGATACCTTAGCCAAGAGAGGGGTGGTATGCAGGAGTTGGTTATTTCAGATGTTATTTTCATTTGATGTGTTTGTAGTTCTTTCTGATTAATAAAATTACGAAATATTGACAAAAAAAAAGAAGGTAGAATTTAATTGTTTTTATTGAAATTTTATATTGTAGTTATAGAACCTAAAACAAGCATACGCAGTTATGCCATGTTATTTGTATCAGGCCTAAGCCAAATGATACAAGTACCCCACTTGTTATGGGCTCCATATTCAAACCATATGTTTTTAAAATTAAAATCTATTATTTTAAATTTGGAATCCAAAAGAATTAAGGGTATTTTGGTAATTTTACTCTACTCATAGGCCAAATTGTGAAAATACTATTTGAAGTAGCATTTTTGGGTAATTTTTCAGAAACAATTTCAGCAAAAGCACGAGAGAAATGATATTAATAAAGTAGCTATTATTTAACCAGTGCTTAGGTGCTCATGGGAACAAGGAGCCACTTTTCAATCTACTCTAGAGATCCACTAGAAAATGTCATGTTCTTGAATTGCTTGCGAATCCATTCAATCCGCTCTCTCTATTCAGTCTCTACTCTCCTTCTTGGTTTGCCATTTTCTGACAGGTGATTGGAAACATAACACTCTGGAATTGATGAGGACTTTCGCCCCAATGTCGGCCATGTTAGATTTCAGAGTTTCAGTGAAACCTCAAATGGAAAGCAAGCTTCCAGCTCCCATTAGAGGCCCTGAGCTCTCAGCAGACCAATCCTTTTCTATTTCCCATATACGTTAGCAAGAATCCCTATTTCCACCATTACAGTACCAGAAACCCAATTGCTCCATTTATGAATCTCCTCAATTAAAAAAAGTAGTAAACGCTAGTTCCGCATTTTAGGGCCATAGGAAACACCAACTCAAACTCGGCCCAACTCAGACCCGGCCCAACTCTGACCCGGCACAACTCAGACCCGGCCCAACTCAGACCATGGCCCAACAACTCTGACCCGGCCCATCTCAAACCCTAGCCCAACTCTGACCCGACCCATCTCAGACAAAGCACAGCTGGCAGTTCCTGAGTCAGACTCCATTGGGGAGGCTTCACCAACTATAGCGGAGGTCTAGTTGCACGACCTTAAACTGCATGGTCCTAGTTGCATGACTTTAAACTGCATAACCACGGTCCAAGCTATATGACCTTAAACCATAGTGCACATCCTGGCCGCATGACGTTAAATTGCTTTGCCCAGGTCCAGGAGGCATGACCTTAAAGACGCCCCCACACATGTGCACACGTCCTTTATGTGCATCGTCACGCATGCCTTCCCAACCGACCCGTTTGTGTGTGCGCACCACTTTCATTGCTTCCCCAGTGGAGTCACCAAGCTGGTTAGGTGCTTCGATCTCGCCCTCTGGATCTGGATGATCGAACGGCACATGTCTCGGGTTTCAAGGGAACCCGGGACTTGATATCTCTCTCTCGAAAACCTTGCTCAAGAATAAGGGCAAGTAGACCAACAGATGAGAGAGGAATTTAAGGTGGGTTCGGGACTTACTCAGGCTGGCTCGCGTGGCCGCCATCTTAGATCACGAAGAAAGCCCCCCAATCGTAAAACTAGTTCGGAATCACTTCCCTTGGCTTGTATGCTCCTGTTATTGCAATCATACACATATGGCAGATGTTACAAGACAAGTGGGTCAAGGGACCCCACCTTGCCTTTGGGAGAACGTACACAGGCGTACACATTCAAAAAAAAGAAAAGAAGAGTGAGGAAGAAAGATTAGGATTAGAAGAATTTGACCAGACGGTGA